AAACCTTTCAGTTAGCTTTCTTTATATTGTTTGTGTATGTGGTTGAAAAATTAAAAACACTGTCAAATATCTCCAGAGTTCAGATAAGGCTTATCATTACAGATGAGTTTTTGTCTGAGTAAATTAAAAGTAATAATTTTTCCTTTTTAATAAATCCTAAATTTACTTCTGCGCAATTCTTTCAAATCATCCAATCGTAGTTATTCAGGCTTTCGCTCTTTAAAGATTTCTGTTAAAAGAATCTTTTATGTCCTTTCCCTTTTTCGAAGTGTATCTTGAGAAAACTTTATCACTATATATATATATATATATATATATATATATATATATATATATATATATATATATATATATATATATGGTATATATATATATATATATATATGTGTGTGTGTGTGTGTGTATGTGTGTGTGTGCGTGTGTGTGTGTGTGTGTGTTTATCGTTGCATTGTGCATAAGCAAAACCTGCATGCCACTGATCATCCACGTTACTTGCATAGACCTCCTTTAGGAATAACTCTTTCTGGATTACTTTATAATGTGTAGGTAGACTGTTTGGTTAACTATTCTTTTATTTCTGCATATTTTACTTTCCTTTTGTCCAGTAACATTTGTTATGAGAACTGACTGATGTTTGTACAAGCAATCTAAATTATTTGATCGTAGTAAAATATTTTTGAGGTTCTTTTCTCACCAGTTATATTATTTCAAAGGCATCACATATCCAGAAAATATTTTGTCGTTGAAAAAACGTATTATGATGTTATCATCACACCAACAAGACATCTATCCATGTAAAAGTGATACTTTCGTTTTCAACAATTTATAACGTTTTTTCTATCCATTCCAACGTGTGAATGACTTAAGTGTCATGTTGAATTTGGCCAATCGAATAGCTGGCTCCACTATCATCTAAGTCATATACGTTGTCCCAATAGACGCATTTAAATCGAACTTTGCTCTTCTTAAATTCTATATCTGTTTAGTCGATTCCTTGTAGACTGGACATTGGTCAGATTTATTAGAACTTCAAGTTATGCTATACATTTAGCCAAAAATGTAAATTAGTGCATTTACTAATATCAGATATTTCATTTATTCGTTTCCCATACTGTTCATTTTAACCTGATTGTTATTAGGATTGATTATGCTTATCTCAATGATATCATCATTAAATGTAATACATAAATCTGTATATTTGCTTTAAATATTGTATGATATATAATTTAATACTTGAATCGGACAAGAAGTTTGTTTCTTTTGTATATTGTTCTGGAACACAACTAACTTTGACGACACCATTATCCCATCCAAATACGTATACATAAGTATTGCCTCTTGATACCGATGCTGATGCTAATGTGTTAAGCATGACGCAATATTTATATCCCCACTTTAGAAACAGGAATTTATCACTGTAGCTTTATATCAAAGCTTATAATGAATAAAAATATTAATTTTAAAAAAAATTCATTTTGTATTTGTTGCTGCTGCTCTCCGCTCAGTGCCCAACAGTTATATTAAGAGTACATGGGTTCGACCAGCGTATTTTTACTTAGATAATAATTCAGTAGTAAATAACTGTACTAATTAACACTATGTATAAATAAATAGTTCTATTAGTGTGCTAATGGACATTACCATTTAAGTAGTAGACTATTGTTCTTGAACACCAACTGTGCTAGAATAGTCAACTTTCTGAGATAGAATAAAAACTTATCAGTGATATTTTGCTTTTAATTTCTTCTGCGCAGGAGAATGCCACCCTGAATAAATTGTTCTAATTCTAAATTGTACAACTGTTTTTAAAGCACTGTCAACACACTAGCTACAGCTTTATACTCAGAGCTGCTGTAATAGCGCGTCGAAAATCAGGGTCTACACCGTTCCTAATAGTGGCCTGGAAAGTATAAAACTAACGAGATTGAGTTGGGGTGAGCCAGTCAATGAGAATGTTGCACTAGAAACGTCACTTTTATTGGCTGAAAACGAAACTGAATCTCAAAGTAATATTCGGAGTTTTACGATTACTAACCTTGGTGACTTCCAGCAAACAGTTGTTGTTGAGCTTAACGCCATTTTTCAGCACACGATAGGCTATTCATGGCGGCCAGTATTAATGGTGGAGGAAGAAACCGGGAAATTACCGGAAAGAACCACCGACCCACGAGAAGCTACTGGCAAGCTTGCTCACATATCCACATTCGCCGAATCCTAGACTCGAACCCACGCAGACAGAGGTGAGATGGCAGTGATCCGTAACGGACAGCGCTTTAGACCACTCAGCCACTCGGCCCCCCCCCCCAGCAAACAGTACAGACCCTGATCTGCTGATACGATATAGACTGGTGCTATTAGAATTTTAATGCTTGTTTTTATACGGACAAATGCTGCCCTCGCTGGCTTTTGACGACGGACAAATATGGCCTTTGCTGGTTATTGATTATGTCGTAAAGACAGAGTTTAAATAATAATAAGTGAAAAGAAAACGATCCTAAATCATGCGAGTAATTATTGATCCAATATTATTTTTAAATCAGAATCGGAACTATTGAAAACAAAATCATTGCAGCTGAATCTAGAATGCAAAATCTGATCCAACCAACATCAGAATGGGAGGATAATAATCAGGGCCAGCCGATTGGACGGATTTGGCTCAATCGGGCTCACAGGGACCATGCGCTCATAGGTACCAAAAGATTTAGCAATTTTTAAACATATATCTATAGAGAGAAAGTAATTTTTAGCGATGGAAGAAAATTTAAAATTCAGTATCATGTTTCCGATCGCAGTGTGCACAGGACCCCACGCGTAAATCCAGGGTCACGCCGAACTGATTAAAATAGGGCTCCACGTTTGACAAGGCCGTACCTGATTATAATCGCAATAAGTATATGCTTACAGGTTGGATATAACAGATCACAGGTGAAGGATTTATATAACAGCTTTCCGGAGTCTATTATCATGGTATTTTCCTTAGCACATAATGAATGACAGCAACAAATGATGCAAGGCAACTTTCTCTGCTTCATACGTTTTTCAGAATAATTCACCGATCATGTCATAAATCATGTTTTGTTCAGTGCACGAACCTTAAAATTAGCTCGTGACTTCGACTGTACATGTGTTTGTATTGATATCCCCTGTGGACGTCTAGAAACGTGACCGTTTGCAGTTTTATTGCTTTAACACGAGTCAAAGAGAAAAGTTGAATCATTCCACCGAATATTTTGTATGTTTATGGAACCATTGCGTGATTAATACAAACTCAAACAAAACAATGAGATTTTGTTAAATTAAATTAGACATTCTTTAGTCGAAAATGCAAATCTTTTTTTTGGGCACGAAACGATCATTTGGACATACCTGAATAAAATCTTGACTATAAACAAGAAAGTGGTACTTGATGCATTATATATTTTATATACAATACTATGCAGATAGCGGCCTAAGAGAAAACATACTAAGTCCCGCACAAGAAACAAAACAAAACAAAAACAAACAAAAACCATGTGACGTATTTTCTGCAAAGCAGATGTATCACTAATCGCAGCGTTCAGATCCGTGCTTATACAGACTATGCGGGAAACAGCCGAGACAGTCCCGCAAAACGCACGTCTCAGTAGTATTTTATAGTATTACTTTATTCTACGTGCAAATGTATAACGTCAAAGGAAAGTATAGGGATAAATTACGCAGAATTTTCTTTTTAAACCCCACAGCTACAGATTAATTGCTTGTGATGGCGTACAGGAACGACCCACCTCATATCCAGGAAATGAGACGTACTAGGTAGGTCCTAATTTAGTTTTTATTGGATTGCCATATAAATACAATGCACACAAATCATATGGCGAACAACAGTCTTTTCAAGTGCTTACCTCCCCCCTCCTTCCCTTCCAGGTGGCTGAGTCATCTAAAGTGCTCACCACTGCATATCAATGACATGTTGACTCTGTCCATGTGGGTTTGAGTCGTCGGGCTCGGACAATGTGTGCTTGTCAGAAAGGTTGCCAGTAGCTTTCCGTATTCCGTGTGTGGGCGGTTCTTGCTTAAATTTTTCCCGGGTTCTTACTCCATCCGATGTACTTGGCGCCTAGTAGAGCCTATAATGTACTGAAACATTGCGTTAAATCCACAATAACAAGTGAACTGGTTCGACCGAGTATATAAAAGGCTGATTAAGATATATGCATCAAACGGACTAAAACAGTGCAAACCTCATTTTATTTCGCTTAAGTCTTATTCTGCTTTGTCAGTGACAAACACAAAACAGTGACAAGACAAACACAAATGAAAGTATTGCAATCACAGACGTTTATATGACTATGTCTGATGGAAGTATTGTTTGACAGTGTTCAATGTAGCGCCTAATAAAAAATGGCAATCCAGCTGGTAATGACCGACAAAAAAGAGAAAGAATAGTACCATCTCTTTTCACATCAATAGCAAAGGGCAATTGCCTAAGTTCATCTGGTTACTTTGGGAATGTGCTCGAGTTCAACTGGCACACTTGATTCTTCTTAGTATTTTGGTTTGTTTATTAACTCATATTTGATTATTTTCATAGGCATTTGTTTATTTTATTTGATTTACTTGACATTTTAATTTCATTTTTTTTTGCATGTCAGCTTGTTGAGGCCTACATAAAGTTAGTCCGACATGATTTCAGTTGATTGTTCTCACGCTATTATGTTTAATCACTTAGAAAGAGAGAGAGAGAGAGAGAGAGAGAGAGAGAGAGAGAGAGAGAGAGAGAGAGAGAGAGAGAGAGAGAGAGAGAGAGAGAGAGAGAGAGAGAGAGAGGTGTTAAAGCGTATTTATTTACTGACTGCTGGCCTTCCAGTTACTGTCTGATACGGGAATGTTTGCTTCCCATACACATCAGTCATGACAGAGTCAAACTCACACCAGAACAACATCTTCTGAATGAACGTTAACATGTTTCTGTATAGACCTACTTTTGTAGGATAAACCTTGCTTCTCAAGTTGCGTGCACC